TGATGTTGGCTATGAGTTTGTTGTATATGGCTTTAATTATGTTGAGGTATGTTCCCTCCAGTCCAGTTCCCTCTATAACTTTGAATGTAAATACATCCTGTATTTTGTCAGAAGCCTTCTCTGCATCTATTGAGATGACAATGTGGTTTTTGTCTTTGAGTCCATTTATATTATTAATGACGTTTATTGACTTGTGTATATTGAACCATCCATGTGTCTCTGGGAAAAAGCCTACTTGATCATGGTAAATGATCTTTTTGATGTGTGTCTGTATGTGGCTTGCAAGTATTTTGTTGAGAATTTTTGCATCTATGTTCATTAAGGATATAGGTCTATAGTTTTCTTTTTTGTTTGTGTCTTTACGTGGTTTGGGTATTAGAGTGATGCTGGCTTCATAGAAGAAATTTGGGAATTCTCCCTCTGTTTCTATTGTTTTGAGTAATTTAAGTAGTATTGATTGGAGGTCTTCTTTAAATGTCTGGTAGAATTCTGCTGTAAATCCATCTAGGTCTGGGCTTTTTTTAAAACTGGGAGGCTTTGTATTATTGTTTCAATTTCCTTATATGTTATGGGTCTGTTTAAACTGTTGATCTCTTCTTGGTTTAACTTTGGTGGTTCCCATTATTCCAGATATCTATCCATTTCTTTTAGATTTTCAGATTTAGTAGTGTATAGGTTTGAAAATATTTCCTTATAATGGTCTGGATCTTTTGGGCGTCTGTTATGATGTTTCCCCTTTCATCTCTGATTTTGTTGAGTTTGATTTGTTCCTTTCTTTTGGTTAACTGGGCTAAGGGTCTGGCCATCTTGTTTAGCTTTTCAAAAAACCAGCTCTTAGAATCATTGATTCTTTGTATTGTTTTCTTTGTTTCTATTTCATTAATTTCTGCTCTGATTTTTGTTATTTCTTCTCTTTTGCTGGATTTGGGTTTCATTTGTTCTTGCCTTTCCAGTGTCTTGAGTTGCAGTGTTAGGTCATTTATTTGGTCTCTTTCTAATTTTTTTTTTTTTTTTTTTTTTTTTTGGTCTTTTTGAGACAGGATCTCCCTGTAGCCCCAGCTGTCCTGGAACTCACTATGTAGACCAAGTTGGCCTTGAACTCACAGAGATCCACCTGCCCCTGCCTCCTGAGTGCTGGGATTAAAGGCATGAGCCACCATGCTAGACCATTTTTTAATGTAGGCTCTTAGAGCTATAAACTTCCCTCTTAGGACTGCTTTTAATGTTCCAAAGGTTGTGTTGCGTTGTATTGTCCTTTTCACTGAATTCCATGAATTCTTTTATTTCTTTCTTAATTTCTCCTTTGACTCACTCATTGTTTTGTTTGCCTCAAGTGTATGTAGTGACTAGGGTTCGTCCAGTGTTGATTTTGAGTTTTATTGCTTTGTGGTCCAATAGAATGCATGGAATTATTTCAATATTTTTGTATTTGTTGAGGTTTATTTTGTGGCCCAGTATGTGGTCAATTTTTGAAAAAGTTCCATGGGGTGCTGAGTAGAAAGCGTATTCTTCGTTGTTTGGGTGGAATAGTTGAAAGATGTCTGTTAGGTCCATTTGTTAGGTCCATTTGCTGTACAGTATCATTTAATTCAGACTTTTCTTTGTTTATTCTTTGTCCAGTTGACCTGTCTAATGGAGACAATGGGGTATTGAAGTCCCCTACTATTACTGAGTTGGGGTTAATCTGTTTCTTAAAGTCCTGTAGTGTTGTTTTTATGCATTTGGGTGTACCAGAATTTGGTGCATACATGTTAAGGCTTGTAATATCTTCCTGGTTAACTGTTCCTTTGATCAGAATGAAGTGACTCTCCTTATCTCTTCTGATTAGCTTTACTTTGAAGTCTATTTTGTCAGGTTTTAGAATTGCAACCCCTGCTTGTTTCTTAGTGCCATTTTCTTGGGATATTCTTTTCCATCCTTTTACCTTAAGGTAGTGCCTGTCCTTGAAGGTGAGATGGATTTCTTGCAGACAGCAAAGAGATGGATTTTGTTTCTTAATCCATTCACTTAGCCTGTGTCTTCTGACTGGGGAGTTCAGTCCATTGATATTTAAGGTCATTATTGAAAGATGTGTATTGGTTGTCATCATTTTGATTGTTGTTTGTGTTATCTCTGTAAGTTTTTGTTTCCTAGATTATACCTTTGTTTATTTTCTTTTATTGCCCCTATGGTATAGTTGTTTCTCTCTCTGCTCTCTGTATTAAAGTATTTCTCTCTCTGCTTAAAGTATTCTTAGAAGGGCTGGTTTTGTGGACATGTGTTCTTTCAGGCTATTCCTGTCATGGAAGATTTTTCTTTTTCCCTCAACTATAATAGACATTTTTGTTGGGTAAAGTATTCTGGGCTGGCATCTATTGTCATGTAGAACTGGAAATACCTTGGTCCAGGCTCTTCTTTCTTTATTCATTATGTAAAGGTGGTTGGTACATGGTTCAGGTTCTCTCAGGTTTAATTTGGAGGGAACTGATGACTTTAGATAAGCTTTTTAG